GAAAGATGTTTTGGGAGAAGAATTTGAAAATTAAATAAAGTTTGTTTGTGTTTTGGGAGGAGACAATTTGTACTGTAGCAAGTCAAATCATGTCTGAAAGGTGTTGGGAAAAGGTATTTTGGAAGAAGAATTTAAAAGATAAAGTGATTTGATTTTGTATTTTAGTGAAGACAATTTTCACTGTAGCGGTCAAATCATGTTTGTTAGAGAGAGAAATATTTGAATTTGTTTTGGGGAAAGTTTTTGAAAATAATGTAGAAAAATAATTTTCATTTTGGGGAAAGTGTGAAAAGAATTGGAAATACTAACAAACATAACCTTTATCTTTTGAGAGCACAAAGTGCTATTAATTTTTCGGATAAATTAATACGGCTCCCTTGAAGTAATTTCAAATTACGAAAGAATCCCTCATGTTTGAGTAATTATAACTATCCCGTTAACTATGAATTTTCATACATGTTCACCCTTGCGGTGTCAAATTTAATGAAATTTTCTGGATTATGTAGAATTTTTTTCCAGTTTGTACCCGTTTTATCCCATTCGAGCTCTACATTTAAAAAAAGATGATCATAAGATGTGCCTCTTGGCTTGCAAATATTATATTGTGGTATATCAGAAACTGCATTTTTACACAAGTGAGTACAAACTAGATAACATTCTATGGAATCTAGAAGATTCCGTTGAAGTTGACACCATAAGAGTGAACGTGTAAAAATATTCATAGTTGAAGGGTTTGTTGTAATTACCCAAACATGAGAGATTTTTTTGTAATTCGAGTTCACCGAGGGGGTCGCCACAATTTAACCTAATATTTTTAATGATGCAAAATGTCAAAATACTACATTTCAAAAGTGCAAAGTGGAAGTAAACCGATTATTTTGGTGGGTAACTTTATCAGTGTAATAACAAGGCAACTGACGAAGTAGATGACATTAATTAGTCAATTAAATAGTCTTGTTTCATGCATGAAGGTGATTATGTATAGAGTTAAACCTCCATAATTAATACTAACGTAATTAGCAAAATTCTATTAATTTAGTGAAATATTAATTTATCGAAGTTTTTAGAGAGTCGGGATAAAAAAATTATTATCTAAGTGAAAGTATTATTTTTTTGAAGTTTTACTGTATACTGTATCATCTGAAATGGTTAAATGAAAGTTTAATTAGTTTTTCAGTTTTTCTTTATTTAAAAAAAAAATAATAATAAATAAATAAATAAATAAATAAATAAATAAAACAACTTAGAATAGTATGGGACCTTTATATAGCATTTGTCCCTATTTCCAGCCAAATTTGATGTGCATGGGGATCGAATTGTTGAAAGAGATTTTACTTGGACGAAAATTATGCAAAACATAATAATAATAATTTTGAAAATGCAAAGGAGCCACTAATTATATATTTTTTTAGGGACACTAATTATATCTAATATAGTGCTTTTTTTTTTCTTTATAAAAAAAAATATCTAAGTGATGATTGCTATGAAACAATAATTTAGTGACAATGCAATGAAATATCATTTTTAGCAGCATTGATAATGATATTGAAATAGATGATACATAAATTATAAGTTTACCTTTTCATTTAATTGATTTGAAAAAAAAATGAGATTAATATATTTGCGATCTATAAATGTATCAAGTTATCGAACTAATTATTTAGTACGTTTTTATCGGGTCGAGATCAGAAAAAAACTATTATTAAGCGAGATTATAAATTTATCAAGGTTTTAGTGTACTACTCAATCATTTAAGTTTGTTGTTTTCTAAATTAAACAATGTTAATTAGTTGAAGGACATTGTCACAATTAATAAACAAAATTATTACTATATCACAATCAATAAGCTTGATTGCGTGAGACATGACGTACGCCTACAGCTTGATGACACTTAATTAATTGGTAAAAATATCTTTGAATTTGATGATGGTTATATTGACTTATTTGCTTTGTTTTATTTTATTTTTTTCAAAAAAATCGGTCATAGATATGGTCTTACAACGTACGCACTCGAAGAAATTCGAATCCAAGAAAAAATAAATAAAAATAGGCTTACAATTGATATATATATATACAGTTAAACATCTATAATCTTACTCAAAAAAAAAAAAAACATCTATAATCTAATACATTTGGGATCAGCCAAATTCTATAAATGTAGCGAAATATTAATTTTAGCACGATGTTCTCGAGTCAGGATTAAAAAAGATGTATTATTTAAACGAGATTATTTATTTATCGAAATTCTACTGTATTATGGTCTATTGCATGTAAATTCAAGAAATTCAAAACCACGTACGAAAAACCGGCCTTATAATATTGACTTATTTCTCAGCTCGTACATAGCAAACCTCAAAATAGATACACAACAAAATCAAAGAAAAACACTTCCTCAAATATTTATTTTAAATATGTTTGTTTTTTTCAAATTTAAAAATGCATATAAAATCCCTAGTTCACGGTGTCACACAAATGCTCTTGGTGTACGTATTAGAAAAAAAATGAGATGTTGCATCTAACTATTTATGTTGTATTGATTTAAACCGCAAATCTACACATAATTATACACACACACACAAATGTGTATTTGTATTTAGTGAAATAGTTACTTAATCAAATCTACGGTTCAAATCCACTCAATATAAATTATCAGGTGTATCATCTAACTCCCGATTATCTATAGTCTTTCATACTTTATAATGTGTACAATTTGTGTTTATTTATTGATATTTTATGTGTGTGTGTGGAAGGTGTTTGTATGTGTCTATGTGTGTGTGCACGGATGTGCAATTGTTTTCCTGTGTATAGACTATAGTGTCCTTTTGTTATCTGTCAATTATTATTAATAAATCTAAAGTTATTTTAAGATTTAAAATAATCACAGCTGGATTAAATATTAGTGAGCAATCTTGTAAATAAAATATTAAACTGAAGGATTTTTATTAAAAATATATTATATATATTTTTTTCTTTTAGTTAATTATTGTCGACATTCGGGGATTTAATTTTTTTTTTCAATAAATTAAGGACAATTTTAATTATTTGAGATATAAATTAAAGCTCATTGAATTAGTAAGAAAATAAAAAAAATGAATGAATTATGAACATACGCTAATAATAGTGTGTGACACCAATATATGATCATGGAGAAAAATATAGTTTTTATCCTTCAAATTTGCACAAATTTTACATTTGGTCCTTTATGTTCTCAAAATACACAGTTGGTACTTTATGTTTCAATAATTTAATATTTTTTGGTCATTTTCGTCAATTACTCCCTCCTTCCCATTTTATTTGTCTTTCTAGAGAATTTTTTTTGTTTCAAAATAATTGTCATTTTAGGATTCCAATGAAGTATTTATTGTATTTTTCTCAATTATGCCCTTAATACTATTAATAAAATTAATGGGAAAACATTTATTAAAGTGGTTTTTTAGTCATTTTATTATGATTTTTCTAGAATCCATGCACATTTATTAGTTTTCTTAATATGTGTGAATTAGCCTAAAACAACAATTAAAATGGGAAGGAGGGAGTAACTTTTAGTACGTCCGTTAAGAGAGTGATGGGCAGTGAGCACATATTGAATCCGTTAGGTACTAACCGAAAATTGATGGAAATCATAAAAAAATTTGAATTTTTCTAATATGAAGAACTAAATCTATTTTTTTGCGAACACGAAAGACTAAATATGAAATCGATATAAACTTATGGGACGAAAATTATATTAAAATTTTCATGTATCTAATTCATAACATGGAATTGACAGGTAATATTTCTATTTGAACCAACTAAAATTTAGTGATTTTGATTTGACAATTATTCATTATTGAAAAATATAAAATTCACAAAACACAGTATGGAAAAATAAATGTAATTAACAATTAGTCTAGTGTACATTGGCCAATTAATTAATTGATTTGCTTAGGTAATTAATTCTCCAGCACACTTGCTACAAATAATACTATAGTAACTGTACAAAAATAAGACTAATTAGTATACAAATTTAAGTGTTTCCATTTGAATAAAATAAATCCTTTCAAGTTTCAAATGATTTATTTTACCAAAATAGTCAAATAATAATAAATAAATTAAAAAAAAAAAAAAAAAAGTCGTAGTTTATTACTTTTTTTAGGCCCGTTGATTACTGCAACAAAATCTTATACAGCCTTTTATTCTAATTATGTAAATATCATTTAAACGGAAATTTACCAAAAAAAATCATCAACGATGATTTTACTATATGCGGTGAAAAAATATTTCAATAATTTTACACCACGCGCATGTCAACACGTGCATGCAAGTTACTCGTTTTTACTTTATAGTATAGTAAAAGCCTCTGGGAGCGTGAACAACACGCGGGAGAAGAAAAGTTTTTTTCTCGAGAGATGGAATTACTAGGAAACAAGGTAAAACCCAGAGACCCGTTACAGTGCCCAATTATAAACGGCGCGTCGTACGAGGTTGGCCCACCACCGCGCTGTAAAATAATAAAATATAATAAAATAAAATTTGTTATTAGCAAAATCAGGTCAAAATTGAAAATGAGGTCAAATGTAATATTTGCAAATTGAGTAAATTTCCGAAAGGTCCTTTATTTAAAGTGGGAAACGGTCAAAGATGAAAGAATAGCTATAAAATTTGACCGACACATTTTTAACTGGGCCGCGCATCCTGGGCCTCACGTGACCGGCCACACGTACTTCGAGTACTGACTCAGCACATTGACTCGGGCCCACACTGTCCACGTGGCCGAATCCCACAGCCCCCGTTATGCGGCGACCCGTCCTTTACCGTTTTACTCTCGCCGCCGGCCCACCACGTCGACTCGGATACTGGCTACTATATACTTTAGTTGGAATCTAAATAAAATAAAATAAAAATTTTAATTAATTAATTAATCACTACTGGAAAGTTTCTCTTTTCTCCCAAGAGTAAAAAAGGGCAGAATTAATTAATTCAAAAAAAAAAAAACAATTGGTTCTATAAGAGCAACCGAGTCGAGAGAGGGTTCAGTTCAGTGAGTCGAATATTTGCAAGAAATCGTCTTCCTTCCCTCATTGATTGATAGTAATAAAAAGCATTTTCCAAAAAAAATCAAAGGAAAAAAAACACAAGTAGGATAATTGCAGTAACAACAAAGAATCCAGATTTGGACTAATTTAATTTCCTTAATCCTCTGGATACAGATATTAGTTACCAATTATATCAAATCCCCACCCTTTTTATTCTCATTCCCTCCCGTTATTTTTTCTCAAAATGCTTCTTCCCATTTCTTGATTCTCTCCCTACCAAGAATCTTTTCTTTTTTGATTTTTATAAAAATCAAATCTTTTTTTTTTCTTGGTTGATTTTATTGATAGTGATGGATCGGATTGTGTGTTCTGTGAAGTACACGGAGCACGAGGAAATTATTAAGAAGCTGATTAAGCCACCGCCGCCCAAACAGAAGGAAATCGCCGAGTCGGCGAGTCGGCCCAGACGAGTCAGAATCTCGGTCACCGATCCCGACGCGACTGATTCCTCCGGCGACGAAAACGACGACGTTGATTTTCCGAGGCGGCGGGTGAAGAGGTTCGTCAGTGAGATCAGAATGGAGGTGTCCTCTGCTACGAATAGAGCGGCGGCTGAGGTGGTGGTTCTTCAGCCTAAGCCGAAGCTGATGAAGGCGGTGGCGGCGGCGGCGAACGGCGGATGCCGGAAGTTCCGCGGCGTGCGGCAGCGGCCGTGGGGTAAGTGGGCCGCCGAAATCAGGGACCCTGCTAAAAAGACGAGGATCTGGTTGGGCACGTTCAACACGGCGGAGGAAGCTGCCATGGTTTATGACACCGCCGCCATTAAGATTCGTGGACCGGACGCTCAGACGAACTTCACCGTCCCTTCGCCGGAGAATCACGTGACGTCGGTTTCCGGCTACGATTCCGGCGACGAGTCACGCAACGTCGTTTCTTCGCCAACTTCTGTTCTCCGGTTCAGAAGTAGCGTCGCCTCCGGCGAAAATTCCGGTGAAAGCCGGTCCGGTTCGGGTCATGAGTCGGGGAAAGAGGATCATGCTATTGATTCAAAACATGATATCGGCAAACCGGTTTACCCGGTTGGACCGGTTCAAGATCCGGTTCGTTTGGTGGATGAGTTTCAAGGCGAAACAAATACAGTCCCAAATTACTCTAGTGATTTCTTGCCTATGGACATTCCATTTTTGGATGATTTCTTTAATTTCGAGGCGCAAGATCATGCGTTGTTTCTCGACTTGCCGCCGCCGCCGAGTTGTTCCGGCTCGGGTAATTTTGTCGATTCGACGATGGCGATTTCGTCATTAGACGATTTGTTGTTGGATAACAGCTTTGCGGAGTTGGATCTTGGGGAGTTTAAGGACACGTGTCAAGATTTCGGCTCGTTCGAAGTCGATGGCTTTTTTCAAGACATGCCCGATTTTGCTAGCGTGGATCCAATGTTTGTTCCATGATGAATATTCGAAACATTCGATTAAAAATAGCAATCAAGTTTTGAAAAAGAGTGTTGTTTCTTTTGCCCGCGTTGGCCCTTCGATTTCGAAAGGGCAAACATTTTTTCGGCTCGGGTCGGCTTTTTTCGTATACTATTTTGAAAGTTAATTAGGTAGTATTTTATTCAATAAAAATTTACATTTCTAGCCAAAAAAAAAGTTCACATTTGTAATAGATGTCATGGATTTTGAGTTATAGGAATTATTGTGAATTGATGATTATTGAAGTTTTTATTCAAATTTATTTAGCATCATGTTTTTATTTTTCCTTAAATATTTAAGCAAGAAATAAATAAAAAAGAAAAAAAATAAAACAAAAATGCAAGAAGTATGTACTTTATGAATCTTGAAATGCCAAAGTGTAATTCTTTTCGGTTCCATTTGGCACTAAGGTAGGCGCAATTGACGGTTGACTATTTGACCAAACTCACAACTTGCTAAAAATTTCAAATTTAAGTAACAAATATTTAATTTCCATTTGTAAAGATTTTTGTACGATAATTGAGCCAACAATATTAATTAAAGCATTTGTATTTATTTTATTTGGTCCCAAAATAATGCAATAATAATTCAACCGATACTCTAACTTATAGCATTATTCTACCTAGGTATTTAAGGTTGAAAATTTGGAGAATCATTCGCACTTAATAAGTTATTAGGCATAGATTTTTGTACGATACAAATCGAGTAAAATATTTTCGACTTTTCGAATTGTGATTTCAAACGGTTTAGTCAATATCGTGATATCAGATATGTATCGCTGATACGATACATTTACAACTCATCTTATGACATTTGTTACGATACGATCCCAAACTAATCTAGTATAAGTTACCACGTGACGTAAAAAAAATATCCTACCTTTTTTTTTTTTTTCAAATTAGGTATACAAAAAATGTAAAATACTTTAATCGGAGTAAGAAACATGTCGAATAATATATTATAAACTTAAAATGGGATGCTGATAAGTATGTTGGTTCAAAATATTCTTATAGCAATTACTTACATTTTACTCCAACAAAAAGAAATATATATTATATGTATACAAATATTAATCTTTATAGATAGAGTGCAAAGTAGTCATGATTATTGCACCCCTTCAATTAATTACGTGTCAACTGAATTATTAGAATATTATTAACATATTATTATTATTTATTTAATTGTAATTATAGTGAGTGATGGCCAATCTCAAGTATGTATCCAATCCATCATCTGTGGAGAAAACAACCGACCTCGGTCAAATGATTATGTCTGAAAACCTTTTACATACTATGTTTTATCACTATACATTTGACTGCCTTTGACCGATTTAATTATTCGTATTAAAAAAATTCAATCTCAATTACTAGTATTAAATTATTATTATTATTATTAATTTTTTTTTTTTGAGAAATTGAATAACGAATGTAAACACACTAATGCACTTTACAATGTAGACATAGATAAATATTGGCAGGCACGAAGATTGTGCAAACCATCATGTAATCATTTTGTTCATATTTTCAATCATGTAATATTGTCACATAAATATTATATTTAAATAAAATAATCTTAAAGAAACACATGAAATATAGAAATAAATAAATGTTATTTCGAATGGTTTCATATTTAAAGTCAATTGAAAACAACTAAGAAGAAGATAGCTAAAAAAGTAGTTGAAATAAGGGAAATATATTTAAAATAAATAATTCAAATAAATTAAATCACGAAATTGTTAACTTTTTCCAAATTTTTTTTCTCGACAATCAGCTATAAAATTTCGAAATTAACTATAATTTCATTTTATATTTTCCATTTTTTAAATTTCATATTTTTTTTAATTAGAATCAGCTATGAAATTATCCTAAACAGCTACAAAATTGCGTGCCCAACAACTTACCAAATTAAAAATCACTACATTTTAGTTTTTACCGAAATCAGCTATAAAAATATCAAAAACATCTAAAAAAAACTGAAATCAACTACAAACTGTCGAAATCAACTGAAAATATAGCATAATCGAAATCAAATACAACGGAACAAAAACAACTATATTGTGTGGAGACACACAATACAATTTCAATAGTGGATCCCGCAAAGAAAAAAAAAAAGCAAAACGACTGCGGAGGTGGAAGATGAAGATCGTTGCGGCTTTGAGGAGCCTTTCCAATGACGTAATTGGAAACCCTAGCCTCATGTGTAATATTTAAACTAGAGAAAGTTGACGAAAAAATTACATGTTAGGGTTTGATAAAAGTTATCAAGGAAGAAAGTGAAAATTCGCAGGAGAATCAAGTTATATTCGATCATAAACGTGTAGATTCATATATATTTCACACACAAATTACCACATATATATTTCTGGGATTAAAATTAGTTATCGAATATTCATTTGATATTAATTTTTTATTTGACACCTATATAAATTTATTTGCCAATCAATCGATTGGAACAACTTCGCAAATATATATTCCGTATATAGATATCAAATAATTGTTAATTAAAAATATTTAAGGTGATTAAAAGACGAGGAAACACGCTTTTCCGAAAGCGGCAAAAAGCGCTATATCTGAATGAATGAATTGTGTATGGGCTTGGTGTTTCTGTATGATCATAAAAGTTGATTAGGTGTTATAATAATAATATATAGGGTAAATTACAAACACCCCCTGAGGTATGGTCAAATTACAAAAACCCCCCTCTTGTTTGGATAATTACATCTACCCCCTCAACTATGATTTTTTCTTAGACCTCCACCTTTATGGTGCCAAATTCAACATAGTCATCTAGATTCCGTGAAATGTGATCTAGTTTGTA